GCTAAAGCCACCCGGGCTGCCCTCATTTCATATTCTAACATTAACTTAGCAACTGTTATATTACATGTACTGTACTAAGTGCTGGGGTCACTATGGTGAATAAGAGTTTGGTTTTGTTTTGTTTTTTAAAGGTTTTATTTATTCATGAGAGACCAAGAGGGAGGGATGCAGAGACAGGCAGAGGGAGAAGCAGGCTTCATGGAGGGAGCCCAACGTGGGACTTCATCCCGGGTCTCCAGGATCACACCCTGGGCTGAAGGCCATGCCAAACCGCTGCACCACCCGGGCTGCCCAAGAGTTTTGTTCCTAAGATGATTAAAGTGCTGTGGAGGGGACAAACAGATTAGGTACATTGTTTTAATGTGCAATTCAGGAGAATATATACAGCAGGGCGCTAATCCTGGTTAATCAGGTGAAACGTCTTGGAGGAGGTAATAGGTAAGCTGAAATAAAGAATTGGTAGGAAACAGCTTGATATAGAGGTGCTGTAGGGAGGTAGAATACTGGATAAAAGTCCAGAGAGCCTGTTGAATTTCTAGAATTATCTGTATGACTGGATTAAAGAGTGTGAAAGATCCAGAGAATAGAAAAGTACAGAGATTATATCATAAAGGATTTATTTTGGTACTGAGAAATGGATAGAGAGGGAAGGGCAAAATTAGTGGAGGGTGACTATGATAGCATAGGCTTAGAATAGCTGTAATGGATTGAAATAGAATAGCAGTGGAAATGGAATCTAATGTATTTAGGAGGAAACATAGATCTCGATTGCAGAAAATGAAAGAGAAAGAAGGAATAACAATATGGGTGCCGTTTTCTGAGTGAGGTAGGGAACAAACAAGCAGCAGATTTAGGAGGAAAATTAAGGAGTTGGGGTTTGGATTTCTTTGGTTTGAAAGCAGAAGTTGGTATGTGATTGTCATGGAACAAGAAAGACTATCTGTAGTGGAGCTAATATAATGAGACCTGTGAGTTGAGGGGGGTGTAATTCTGAGCACTTGGTTGGGAAGAGGATAGGAGAATTGGGGACAGGATAGGTACATAGTGTATGGCATATGGAGTGGCCGGATGTTGAGGCATCCTGTCAGATACTTCTCTATTATTTGGAGTAGTATGCTTGGTTATCTGCTGAAATGATGGAGGAAGGGTTAGAGAGATTTGGGTAGCATGGAGAATGCTTGAAAAAGCTTCTTGGAGAATGTAAGAAAGGGGCAAGAGTAAGAAAATATTTTTCTAGGATGCTAGACACCAGTGAGGGCCCATTTGAAATCAGAGATAGAACGTTTGTAGCAACCTCAAAATGTGAGATTTTAATTTTTCTACGCCCAATTGTAGGACATTTAGCCTGCGGGATTAATCAAGTTCTGGCTTGTAGAATAAATAGAACAGTAGAAAGGGGGTTGAAAATACTGACAAAGAGTGGTTTACATGATTTTAGGCTGCATGGGAGTAGAAGAAAGTGAAGGTATAAGAGGGGATTGATTAGGTTGGTGAAGATTTGCAGGGGTGGAGAGACTAAAGGTCTGAATATGCACACAGGGCAGAGGAGCATCTGAGGGAAAGCTAAGAGGTGAAATATTTGGGTTATTTTTTTAGCTTAAAGATTTTTGTTTTTAAATGGAAAGCAAACTGCAAAGAAAAGTTCATGTCTGTGCTCTGGCCGCTTTTATTTGATGTGTATCTTTCTATAAAAAGCTTGAGGATTATTGTTTACAGAAATGAAATCATAATTAACATTTTTCCTGTATCATGTACATGTCCTCAAGTAATAGCATAGACTGTCACTTTTTTAAAAAAAGTTGAGAATAGTCGACACACAATGTTACATTGGTTTCAGGTGTACAAGTGACTCAACAAGTTTATACATTGTGCTGTGCTCATTGCAGGTGTAAATACCATCTGGACTATCACTTAATAGATGCATAATATTTTTCTAATAGGAGTATTCTGTAATTTAATTAACAGTTGTTTTACTGACAAACATTTAAAGTTGATCCCAATTTTGTGAGTAGAAAAAGCACTGTAGGGACACCTGGGTGGTTCGGCAGTTGAGCATCTGCCTTCGGCCCTGGACATTATCCTGGAGCCCGGGGATCTTAGTCTATAGATATTATAGAGTGAGGGTACATGCAGGAGGGCATTGCAATGAGATCAAAAGGCTTGCAGGCACTTAATTGACAACTAACATTTAACAGACCTTGCGGTGCCATCTGTGCTTCAGAAGAGGGAAAGACTTATTTCTAATGGATTCATGGGAGGCCAAAGCCTTCTTGGCCGATGTTTCTAAGGTATGTATATTAATCTCCAAGGGGCCAGGAACACATAACTGCAAGACAGGTCCTTGAGCAAATGGGCATGAACAAGATGGAAAGCTAAAGATAGTATTGTCAACTCTCCTACAGCTCCATAGAATAAACACACTTAAATATCTCTCTATGGCAATAGAATATTGCAAGCACCCTGAGAAATCCTTCTCAGGCATCCTACCAGTCAGTACCCCTGTCTCTCAACAATAAAACAAAACAAAACTTAAAAAAAAAAAAAAAAAAAAAAAAAAAAAACCTCTAATCTGGGATTAGCTTACTTTTAATTTTACCTGTTTGGGATCTTCATATGAATGGACTTAGTATTAGTACTCTGTTGGATGCATCATTTCTGTGAATATTAAAGTCACCTAGCACTGGCAAATATAAGATGTATTTATTGATTGACTAGTGCTAGTGGGGCCAAAACACAGAATTCAGTTTAGGGAAGGACTTGGAATAGAGAACATAGCTAAATGATAGAGAATGACTTAAGCTAAATGATAGGGAATGACTTAAGTGTCCTCGAGTCAACTCTTATAAGCTGCCAGGGTTGGTAGGTAAGGCAGTCCTTCCAAAACAGGTAGGAAGCAATCCCACTGTTTTTTTTATGTGGGGTTAATTTGCCTGCAGCAAAATTCACTCTTTTTGGCAAACATTTCTTTGATACGCATAGTCCTGGAACCACCACCATGATACCAATGTTCCCAGAACTTCCCTTGTGCTCCTTTGTTACTGAACCCTTTCTTCCACCTCAGCTCCTGGTGACCACTGATCTGATTTTTTGTCCCTTTTAGTTTTGCGTTTGAGGAAGAGTTTTTAAAAGAGTTTAGAGAAGTTATGGGTTGGTACAGCTTTGATATAAAGTGTGAGAGGATAAAGGGTTCAAGTGGGAACCCTTTGAGAAGGCTTTGAAGCAGCATTGTAAATGGAGAGCCCAGTTTCAGTTCAGGTAGGAAGTGACCATTTATTTTTAGAGAGCACACACAGTGAAGCTTGGAGGAAAGGTTGGCAGCAGGAGTCTGCCTACCACCTGGTGACTGTGTGACCTCTTCTCTGTGTTTTTCTGTGTAACAAGGACCATTTCCTTTCTTGAAATTTTTTTTCTTTGTTGACTATACTTCTCTCATTATTTTTCTACTATTTGATTTTTTTTTTCCCCAGGGGCATTATTTCCCCTGCTAGTTCCTCAAGTATTTTCTAAGGTTTCTATCTTGGCTTCTTTTCTTAGTCATTCACTCTTAGATTTCATCTTCTTTATCTAAGCCTGTGCTCTCTAATCTTTAGCTGAGATTGCAAAACATCTCTACCTAGCAGAAATAACTTCATATTTATATTATACATATATATATGTGCGTGTGTGTGTGTGTGTGTATATATATGTATATATATAGATATAGATATATATATAGAGAGAGAGAGTGAGCGTGAGTGGGGGAAAGGCAGAGGCGGAGGGAGAATCCTACCCGGGAAGGACCCCAATGCAAGGCTCGATCTCACAACCCTGAGATCATGACCTGAGCTGAAATCAAGAGTCTGACACCCAAATGTCTGAGCCACTCAGGTGCCCTACTGGCAAAAATAATTTAAAAATTTTTTTTTAAAAAACCTATCCATTTAAAAAAATAAGCAAAAAACACTTAGGAGAAGACACACAAATGCCCCCAAAACACGTAAAGAAACTACTAGAATGGTTAAAATTTAAAAGACTGATAATACCTAATATTGACAGATTGTAGAACAATTGGATCTCTCTCACTGACTTGCTTACAGGAGTGTAATTAATATAAAAACTTCAGAAACGTGTTAGTTTTTGTTAAAGATGTAGCTATGTATTTATCTGTACAGATCTTCCTGGGCTGATGGTAGAGATGTCCCAATAAACCGACTGTAAATTGAAAATACTGTATGTGTAAAATTCGTTTAATACACCTAACTTACTGAACATCATAACTTAGCCTCACCTGTCTTAAATGTGCTCAGAACACATTAGCCTACAGTTGGGTGAAATCATCTAGTGTAAAGCCTATTTTATAGTAAAGTGTTGAATATCTTCTGTAATGTATTAAATACTGTTCTAAAAGGGAAAAACAATGGTTGTATGGGTACAGAATAGTTGTAAGTCTGTTGGTTTTTACCTTCATGATCTGACTGGGAACTGCAGTTGCTGATGCTGCCCAGCTTCACAGGAGAGTATCTTACCACATATCAAAAGCCCAGGAAGGGACACGTGGGTGGCTCAGTGGTTGAGCATCTGCCTTTCACTCAGGTCATGATCCCAGAATCCCGGGATCAAGTCTTGGGTCAGGCTCCCTGTTCAGCAGGGAGTCTGGTTCTCCCTTTGCCCCTGACCCTGCTTGTGCGTGCACATGCTCTTGCTCTATCTCTCAAATAAGTAAAATCTTTAGAAAAATAAAGATCTGTTATCTAGTTAGGTATCTTTTCATAAAAACATTTTCTACTTAAATTAGCCACAGGGTTTTTTTTTTTTAATTGCTTCCAACTAAGAACCCTTGCTAGAAAAAAAGTTAAAAATATATTGTACTGTTTTTTGAAAACTGGTAACAAGATACTGTTTTCTCTGAAGTACACACAAAGTTTTAAAATGTTTGACTAGACTTTGTGAGTCATGCTGCAGACAGTAAAGATTCTAAATAACAATAATTTCATTTTAGTATTTGCATTTTAAAATTTTAGTGTGCTTATTGGACCATGTGCTGCTATGTATGCCTGAAGTACTTGAAATGCAAATTTGGAGACACTTTGCCATCTAAATGCTTGGCTGGATTAAGCGCCTAATTAGGATGGTTTTTCAACAGGTTGGAGTAAGCATGCAATCGGTGAGTGCTCCAAATTAATTTTTAAAATCTAGACACTTGTATGTTTTAAGAATTTTTTCTGAGATAGTGAAATGAATCTATATATGACCACCGTTTTAAATTCAGTATGTTTATTTAAGTCATGGAAGTGAATCTTTACCTAGTATTCTAAGTACTGAGTAATATTTTGGGTTACTTTGAAAATGTATCAATATTCATGTGACTGTTAAAAGCAATGCATTTGTTAGTAGTGAGGAAAGAAATATATTTTATAGAAATCATTGGATGAAATATGTTTGACTAGCACTTGACAACTCTGTTATAGAACTTTTTGAATGCTGTTAAAACGTAGTTTCTCACACAACCTTTCAAGGTAAAAGGTAAGTCATGTCTTTGTAAAATAACAACTATAGGTATGAAGAAAAAAATTAGTATAATATTCTATGCCTAAGATGTTAGTTCTGATCTTGATATTTCAAGTATTTTCTACTGATAATTTTTTTAGGTGCAGTGTAAAGTTATTTGAGCAATAATAGTGCCTAGCAGCATATATTGTGGACAATTTTTCATTTTCTCGTTCAATATTTTTTGCATTAGTAATGTAGAATTAAATTTTATTGAAGATATAGACAGGTTACATAATTGGAATATGGGTGTGTGTGTGTGTATATATACTTTTGAATGTATGACTTTTCATATGTATGTAACTTTTTAATGTACTACTTTTATTTTTTTTTTTTTTAAGATTTTTTATTTATTTGAGACACAGAAAGGGAGAAGCAGGCTCCATGCAGGGAGGCCGACGCAGGACTCGATCCCGGGTCTCCAGGATCACGCCCTGGGTAGAAGGCGGTGCTAGACCGCTGAGCCACCGGGACTGCCCTTATACTTGTTTTTATTTGTGTCTTTTCATGTCTTGTTAAGAGAAAGTCGAACTTTGAATCTCCCAGCCCCCCAAAGTTACATCTGTTTTCTTTGGAGATAAAAAAGCAAAGAACCAAATAAAATTACTTTTTTTAAATAGCTGCATAATTTTGAGATTATTAGCTTGAAGATAAGCAATAGGAAAATGGTTTCTAAAGTAACTAGCATTTTCATCTTTTTCAGTTACATTTATTTTCCTATGTTTTGGACTTACTGCAGCTATATACTACCTTTCTCATTTGTTACTACCATGTAGCTACATAGAATAGATTAACATTTTAGTACTGACAGTAAAATAATTTGTTTCTCCTAGAAAAATGGGAAGCTTTTGTTATTTATAATTCCCAGAAAGTCAAACTTTTACAATTTATGGTTCTTACTTTCCAATTTTAATAAGAAACACAGTTTAGGGTTTAGGGGAGGGATATCTGACTGGCTCAGTCTGAAGAGCATGCAACTCTTGATCTCGGGGTCATGAGTTTGTGCCCCATGTTGAGCATAGAGATTACTTATAAAAATGTATAATAATTGAAAAAGAAGTATAGTTTAGTGAAGATAGTAGGTCTTGGATTCAAACAACTCTGGGTCTGTAATTGGTCTCTGTCAGGTACTTTAAGCTTCATCTACAAATTACAGATAAGAACTACTGAAGAGTTAGCCTATTGATTAAAAGACTGTATGTAAAACACCTAAAACAGTGGCTTTTATATAGTATAGCTACATTGGGTAATGGTTAATTTTCTGTAGTTTTGTTCTGTCATCCCCCACCCCAAGTCAGGCGAATGTGACTAATGCTGATTGAGTCCCCAAGTGCAGAAGTTTGTTATAGGAACAGATAACACACTTTATGTAGATTGTTCATTTAATTTAATTTTATTCATTTTAAGTGATAAAATGCATGCCTTTCATAAAAAAAAATGGACCAGGTAACAGAGCATTAACTTATTCTCTATATTGTAATCACAGTTAAGGCTCTTGCTATTAATAGCAACTGAACAAGATTTTTTAAAAAATATATAACTATAATCATCAACTTCAGTTAACTGAAAATCTATATAGAAACAAGTTTTCTTTTAACATAAACAATTTGTCACATTGAAATTATTTAGTTTCTAAGCTCTCCTAGTATGCTGCCTAAGCGTAAAAAGGTTTTACTACCAAGATTTTACTTTGGGGTATCTGAAAGTAAAACTTTTCAGCTCTTTCAGTAATAAATACATACATTTATTATATGTATAATGTATAATATGTATTATATATACATATAATACATTATATGTATAATGTATAATAAATACATACATTTCCCATTGTTTGATAATGAACTTGAATACTATGTTTAAAAGTATTCCAAGAGTAGAAATTGCCTTCATCCTCTACATGTTTTATCTGCTTAAAAAGAAAAACTGCAGGTTTTGAGATTAGGGTTTGGGTTTTGCCATTAGAACAGTTGTAGATAATTAGCTCTCTGTATTTTACTATACACATCACCACTGTAATAGCTATCACTGGTTTACTATAATCCAGTTCCTAAATTATGTGTATTCAGTAAAACAACACTTTGTTTTACAGGTATAACTACAGTCAGAGTAAATATCTAATTTGTATTAGTAATAGATTTCCAGTAATACTTAAGGATTTTAACTTTGTTTTCCTTTTTGTGCTTTGGAAGAAGAATGTGAATGTGGCTGAGTTTAGAGGAAGGAAGAGAACTGAGGGGAGTGTTATCTTTAATTGGAGATTTTGAAATTGTTAGAGTTTCATCTTCCTGGCTACCCGCTCTCCTCAACACACACTTTGAATTTTCTCCTGGCTCCCTTGGAGTTAAGGATTTGTAATTTGTTGTGTCTAGATTCCTTGAACTTTTGATTAATGGTATGGACTTTCTTCTAGAAAAATATCGTATATACAAAGAATTTTGCATGTAATTTCAGGGATATGTGGGCCCCAGAATAAGAACCCTTGTATGAATATGAATTAGCTTATCTTGAGAAAAATACATGTATTTAGCATTAAATTTGTACTTTTTCCTGCTAAATGGTACCTCAGAAATAGTAATTTAGATTAAACTGATCTATAACAGAATAATTACCACATGAAATTTGATGAGACAGATGATAGCTTCAGATTTCAGGCTCACACTTCAACACTTCTACAATAGCATTTCACAATGTTAAAAAAGAACAAATTGCTTTCTGTTGTCATCCTCCTCCTTGCTGTCATCACTTTCAAACACTGTTGCTAAATGTTATGGACTGTCATTACTAGACACACACATGCAAACACATGCACAGATTCATTATTAGATTATTTGTCAGTAGTCATTATAAGGCAAAGCAGAGTTTTTCTGTTCAATAATAATAGTTATTTTCTAGTGGAATTGAGTTCTTATTTCTTAATAAAATCCAGTTGTCTAGCAGTGACCATTTTTTCCCTTCCCTCTCTCTAACATTTGAAAAAATATTAATGACAGTTTATCTTTAGAGGAAGTCTTCCCTTGTCCTGTATACTGACAAGACAACAGTTCAGCCACCAGTTAGGATAGGAGATACTTGGGCCTTACAGTCTCCCAGTGCACAGATGGTGACTTTTCAGTACCATCTGTTCATTATTTCTTCACAGACATTTACAATTTCTCCTACTCCATGAGGGTTGAATAGGAAAGATAAAGTAGGTCCTAATTTTAGAGTTCCTGGAAGTTAGCTACTCTTTACCTTCACTTTTTCCTATAGTCAAGTAAAGGTTAGGATTCCTTCTTTCTAAATACTCCAGTCATTAGCTTACATAGACCCTTCTTCATATTTTTTGGTGCTAAGTGCTGTGCAGTTCACAAGTGACAGAGAAACATTGTTAGTCTGCTGTATATACTTGAAAAAAATAACATAAAGCAATCTGTTTTTACTTCTTTTAACTCTGTAGAAGAAGCCTAAATAGTCTACTTAGTACTTAAAAGTAAAAGCTGAATTTTGGCCACCTTCTCTTGTAAAAGTCACCTGGTATTCTTTCCTTCTGATGTAAGCAGATGGGAAGATAATAGTTGAAACTTAGCCTTGAGGCACGCGTAGCAAGGAATGCCAAAAGTTGGCAGAAACATTAGTTCCTAACCTTGGCAAATCCTTTCCAAATTTTTCCTGTTCTCTTCATCTCCAGTTAAGATCTTTGCATACTGGAGGGATGGGAGATTCACTTCAGACTCTAATTGTCACATTGTGATGCATAAATAGTGTTCTACTACACCTACATCATAGAGTTTTGGCTTGTGACTAAATACAAGATTCAAGGGGAGAATGATTGAGTGATATAAGTGCCATTGCCTTGTGGATTTCTTTTTAAAAGATTAAGATCTATGAACATGTATAAGGTAGAGTTTGCTTAAATACTGTCTGTTCTAGAATTACTTGCCCACATTCTTATTTTTTTTCATGGCCTTTTATGTTGAATTTGTAAAAGTGTGATGCTTCCCATTTTTGTCTAGTCACATGTTTTTCTTCTCTCAGTCCTCATGTGTTAACATTATTTGTGTGATAATCCTCTGGATGATCATTGGTGTGAATGATTTGCATTCCTAAATTATAAGTAATTCTCTTCTAAGCTTCACAGTAGCTTTGCCTCTTTATATCCTTTGTTTAATATTCATATTTCAGAATCAGGGTCATCTTTCTAATGACCTATTTTCCACTTTGTACCATCTTTCTAATTTATATTTCCAAAGCAAGAGTTATGGTTTTTATTGGTTATAGTAGCCAGTGTAGGTTATAGTACTTCCTGGAACTCTCCCAGGTAATAGACAATGAAATTTTGAACATATTAATGGTGAAGTATATAAGAGTTGAGGCATATACTGGATGTGTGTGTGTGTGTGTGTGTGTGTGTGTGTATAAAATCTTCACTTTGAGTCCTACTGTTATCTCTAATTGATTTTGTTTGCTAAAATCTAAGAAGTCCTATATATTGCTTCTATGCTCATTTTACAAGTTGTGCATGCTTTTAGAATGGTTTAAATGTCTAATTTGGGTTATGTGTTGGATCCACTGCTGTTTAAAATAACATTTATTCCTTGGTCATACTGCATATGTTAGGGTAATTCCATTCTTTAAATTAGAGTGATCATGGAGTGACTTTAAAAAGGGGTCAGTGTCTATTGCTCAGAATACATGCCAGCTGATTTAGTTTTACTTAGTTTTAGGATAAAGCTGAATGTAAAATTTAATGAATTAAGTATAATGGTCATATCATTCTCACTCTTTTCTTTTTAAATTGCTTTTAATAGCATACCACCTTTCTTTGCCTCTCTGTCCAGGCTTTCAAGTGTAGCACTCAAAACAGATGGATAGTTTTTCTCTTTAAGGAAAATACTTGGGGAGAAATTTCAAGGTACTTTATAATGATTTAACATTCTACATGTGTGTTTTTTTGTTTGCTTTTTGCTTTTGTGTAAAGCATAGCATAATGTCCTGCGTGTATTATCATTTCATCTGAGAGATTCACCACAAGCCCATCTGGTACCTTTTTGTAATTTAGGAAAGTTAACTTAAACCTGGGACAGGGCCTCACAAGAAGATGCAGTACAACTGAATTTTGACCTGCACTTACACTTGAACAGACGTTGTGTAGTAAACAAAGTGAAGCCTCCTGAATGCTACAAATTCAGATTCTGAACTTTGTACTGATTTGGATTTGTTCTTGAAAAGTCCATTATAATAAATGTAGTTTACAGTTCTAAGAAATTTGTGTGTATGTAAAGTTCTGAAACTAAAAATACAGCAGAGGAGGTATAAATAGTGTTTCCTTTGCAGAATAGTATGAAAATGCAGTTTTTTAATCCAAATGTAGTATTATTTTACAATTACTAGTTATTTTTCTATATTTTTTATATGCCTTACATTAAACCTTAATGTGTTAATCATAACTAGCTATATGTACTCTTAAACTTCTAATTGAGAAATATTAGGTCATTTCCATAACATGTAGAGCATTCTGATCCTATAATTAATGTGTCAACATGTTGTACAATTAATTGTCCAGTGCTTTGTAGTAACAGACTACAAACTTTCATAACCCTTGTAATTAAACTTGTTTTTTTCTATTTCCTCAGGTACTTTGGTCTGGGAAGCCATATGGTTCATCTCGAAGTATCGTAAGGAAAATTGGTACTAATTTATCTCTGATCCAGTGTCCAAGAGTTCAGTTTCAGGTACTGCATTTTGTATATTTGGAATTTCATATTAATATATGTGCATTAGAAATGTAAATAGGCAAGAGAGCTTTTAAAAGCATTTTTGAACATTTCTATTAATGGTACTGTCAATAAAAGACAATAAAGCCACAGTAAAGTCTTTCCTTATTTTACTTCCTCTGTGAAGTGATTATTCAAGCTTTTTAAAGCTCTTTAAGACATTTATCCTTCTTAAGAATACATACACAAAGATTCAGAAGCATATAATAAGCCAAGCAGTTGTTAATTCCCAGGTGACCTTGAACATGGCCTTAAGTTACTTTAGGAAGCTTCAGGTACCACCATTGTTTTCTTTAGTTATTATACCTTCTTCAGCAGACAGACAGCCGTTCTGTTCCCTTAGTTTATTTTTAGATATTTCTGTGGATGCCTTGTAAGTTACTTTCTCCATCCTTGATTTAAAGCTTAGCATTAATTGTAAGCACCATTGCCTTGGTAACAACAGTCTCAAGACAAAGAAGTAACTGTGGCTCTCTGAATGAGATGATAGTGAAACCCTGAATTGGGAATACTTTTAAATGTGCAGGTCTTAGAATTCTGTTATAGCACCAAATTGGGAGCAACTATACTCTTTGGAGATAAACTGTTATTTTCTTGATTTGGGCTTTGTTCCTTATTGTTGTAATAGTGCTAGACATGTTCTTATTTTTCAGTAATTCTCGATAACAATAATACTGCAGAATCAGTTCAACATTTAAGAATGTAAAGTTCAGTAGATATCAGTACCAATTCTAAATAAATTAGCATGTGTGAAATATGGAAAGTATATTTAACTCCTAATTCAATAGGTCAGACGTGCCCCTGCAAGCTTATTTGATATTATGTCTTACTCATAAATCAGCACTCCTGGTAGATGCAAAGAATCTATTCCTTAAGTAAGTGGTAGAAATTCACATTTGTTCAGGTTGATTAACAAGGTTGTTCATTATTGTGCTCATAATCTGCTTGCAAATTGGCAAAATCTTTGTGCATCAATCTAGAAAGTGACAGATTGGAACTTTCCAAGAAGTAATTTTTTTTTTTATCAAACCATAGGCTTTAAAAAAATAATGAAAATGAAATCTGTGGTGGTAACTCTCAAGCACAGTTTCTAAGAATTCGGTTCAATTAGATACAAATTGCTGATTGCTTCATTTAGCAACTTCCTTCAAATAACTGCTGTGTTAACTAAGGCTTGTTAACCTTTTTCCGGTTGCTCAGTTCCATTAAAATTTTCTTTTCATCTATTTATGTATCTACTTAACCTAGTTGCAGGAGAATTTGGCATAGCATTAGTGTTCATGTAACTAGACATGTAGAAGGACATGAAGATAATTTAGCATTTTTTAGTAACAACCCAAATCTGCGTTGGTAGTCAGTGGGGTGAAATACTAGAGCCAAGTATATTTTCTTAGATTCTTTTTCTCTGTGTTATTAGTCACTTAAAAAGTATAAGCAGAATTAAGAATACTAGATTTAGTATAGGAGCTGCATTTGAATAAAGATGGATAAACATAGGAGAGAGGTAAGGTAAGAGAAAGATTCATGACCTACTTGAGAACGTAGTGGAAGATAGAAGACATTTGTTTACAGAGAGATTTTTGTTTCCAAGTGATTTTATAGCATATTGAATCTTTCCAAATTCAAGATAAGTATTAAAGTGAATGTTTTATCTGCTAACTAGACATTTTAAATGTGCTCATATTCCTTTGTATCTTCCATTATTTTTTAATTTGTCAGAAAAGTTAAAAATGTGGAATTTTTAAAAACCTGCAATTTAGAGTAGTAAAGTTGAAAATGCATTTTTTGCTATTTTCCTGGCTCATTTAGGGATTTGATTGATATGGAATGTATTTGGACTATCTAGAAATCCAACATGAGTAAATTCTGTAGAAATTCTGTAGAAAGTCTGTGTGTCTGGAACCACAATTGGACCCAGAGAAAGTAGATACCATATTTATAGGGCCATATTCAGGAGACAAAATATCAAAATGGCTTAAACTTGAATAGGGCATTCATGGGTCAGGAGTTAGGTAGCTAAAACCAAGTCTCTCCAGTGTTCTGGGTAATTTCAATCTTAGGATTTATCTGAAACTTAGCATTTTATGTTCTTTACTTCTTGTATTTCTGTTGGCTTTCACTTCCATTTCTTTTCTACTGCTCATACTCACAGGCAACACCTCAACTCTGTCACCCTCAATTCAATTTTACCTTTGAAATCTTAAGCTTCATTATGGTTCCTTCAAGATCACGCAATCTTTTCACTGTCATCAGCTGACCCTTACAGCTGTAGACAAGTAATGATAGGCAAGATGGGCTGATTACTTATTGTTGTGAAGGTTAGACAAAATAATCCATATAAAGCCCTGAGTATAACTGGTACATAATTAGTGCACAATAGAAGTGTGGTGCACTTCTAGAAGAAGTGGTGGTGATTTTGTTGTTATTATTGCCACCTTACAGTTGATAGCAAATTAACTTTCTTGCTATTACTTGCTAGGGAAGTAATTCAACTCCCTGGTTTTACAAATTGGATTTATAGAGTCACAAGCCAGAGTACAGATCAACATATATATTTACACCATCATCCAGTTAATGGACTCAATGAATATTGCACTAGGAATAAAATAATGCAATAAGTGTAAAAAAAAAAAAGAAAAACCATATAAAAGCACTCAGTGTGGTTCTTTGCTACATTATTTGAAGACGACTTGCCTATAACCCCATAGCTTTTTCCCAGACTTCATTTTGTGAGTGCTAGAAAGGAGTTGGCTACTTTATACTCCAAACAGGATCTCTAGACCCTTCATATTTACTTTTTTAAATTGTTTTTTTTTTTTAATTTTTATTTATTTATTTATTTATGATAGTCACAGAGAGAGAGACAGAGAGACAGAGACACGGGCAGAGGGAGAAGCAGGCTCCATGCAGGAGTCCGACGTGGGACTCGATCCCAGGACTCTGGCGTCATGCCCTGAGCCAGAGGCAGATGCTCAACCACTGAGCCACCCAGGTGTTCCAATTCCAGTATAGTCGATATATATTGTTACATTAGTTTCAGGTATACAGTTTAGTGGTTCAACAATTCTGTACATTATTCAGTGCTCATCATAGTAAGTATACTCTTTAATCCCCATCATTTACTTCACCCATGCCCCCTCCCATCTTCTCTCTGGTACCCATCAGTTTGTCCTCTATAGTTAAGAATCTTTTTCCCCCTCCCATCTTCTGTCTGGTACCCATCAGTTCTCTATAGTTAAGAATCTTTTTTTTTTTTTTTTTTTTTTTTTGGGTTGTCTCTTTTTTTTCCCCTTTGTTTTGTTTACCTGATCCCACATGTGAGTGAGACCATATGGTATTTGTCTTTTCTCTGACTGACTTCACTTAGCATTGTACTCTCTAGCTCTGTCCATGTCTTTGCAAATGGCAAGATTTTATTTTATTTTTTTAAGGCTGAGTAATATTCTATTATATATATATATATATTGTATCTTTATCCATTCATCTTTGGCCAGTTGGGCTGCTTCATAATTGGGTTGCTTCTATAATTTGGCTCTGTTTTTTTTTTTTTTAATTTGGCTCTGATAATAATACTACTATAAACATTGGAGTGCATGTATGCCTTTGAATTACTGATGTGATTTTTGAGTAAATACTCAGTGTGATTTCTAGGTAGGGTACTTCTATTTTTAACTTTTTTTTTTTTTTTAAGACTTTATTTATTTGAGAGAGAGAGAAGAAACACAAGCAGGGGTAGCAGTAGAGGGAGAAGGAGAAACAGTCTCCCCTCTGAGCAGGGAGAGCAGTGCAGGGCTCAATCTGTGGACTCCATGATCATGGCCTGAGCCAAAGGCAGATGCTTGACTGACTGAGCCACCCAGGTGCTCTATTTTTAACTTTTTGAAGAACCTCCATATTTTCCAGAGTGGCTGCACCAGTTTCCATTCTCACCAACAGTGCATGAGGGTTCCTTTTTTGCCACATCCTTACCAACACTTATTTCTTGTGTTTTGATTTTAGCCATTCTGACAAGTGTGAGGTGATATCATTGTAGTTTTGATTTGCATTTCCCTGATGATGAGTGATGTTGAACATCTTTGGGTGTGTCTGTTGGCTATCTGGGTATCTTCTTTGGAGAAATATCTGTCCATGTCTTCTGCCCACTTTTAATTGGATTATTTATTTTTTGGGTTTTGACTTGTATCAGTTCTTTATTTTGGATACTAACCCTTATCAGATATATCCTTTGCAAATATTTTCTCCCATTCAGTAGGTTGCCTTTTAGTTTTGATTGTTTCCTTTGCTGTGTAGAATCTTTTTGGTGTAGTAAACTGTTCAGATTTACTTTAATTGAAGAAAAGTATACTTTCCTGGGCCCTTTTCACCCTTGAGTCACAATTAACATACTTCTGGCCATAGCATTTTTTGTATTTGGATATTATAGTTTCCTATAGGTAGGAACCCAGATGAAGACAAAGTGAGAGTAGGTTCTTGATTTTCTCCTAGTACTTATTCCAGTTTCATGAAGCCAAAAGAAAATTCAGATCATGGAAGAACTTGGAAAAGCAGTGAGCCCTGGGAGATGGGGAGAAATGGCGTGCAGAGGTTTTAATTTGCTGTGGTTCTCAATCACTATATGCATATTTGAATCACTAGGGGACTTTATTTTTTTTTTTAAGGTTATATTTATTTATTCATGAGAGACAGAGAGAGAGAGAGAGAGAGAGAGAGAGAGAGAGAGAGAGACAGACAGACACAGGAAGAGGGAGAAGCAGGCTCCATGCAGGGAGCCCGATACGGAACTCAATCCCGGGTCTCCAGCATCACGCCCTGGGCTGAATGTGGCGCTAAACCCCTGGGCCACCGGAGCTGCCATGAATCATAGGAACTTTAAAAAAAATAGTAAATTCATGCTCAGGCCCCTTCTTGCCTGGTAGTTTTATATGCGCCACTTCCTTGCAAAACACAGAGCTTTTAAA